CCACTGCTCCCCTCAGTAGTATATTTCAGTCGATCTGCCTGTTCTGCTCCCCACTCTGTCTCTGGGGGATCTTTTCGCACCCCCACACCTCTGGTTGTGCCCTATTTCTTGTTTGCATAAATAAATAAATCTTTTTTTAAAAAAAAGAAAGAAAATATGGTCTATTTCTAAAATGGACTGTTGCACAGTCTTCAAAAAGAAGGAAATTCTAATACATGTTATAACATGGATGAATGTTGAAGATGGTGTGCTACGTGAAATAAACTAATTACAAAAGAACAAGTACTGTATTAGTCCACCTATGTGAGGTATCCAGAGTAGTGCAGATGGTAGAATGATGGTTGCCAGGGCTAAGAAGATAAGGGATAAGGGAATGGGGAGTTGTTTTACAAGCACAGAATTTCAGTTTTGTGATGTGAAAAAGAGTTCTGTGGATAGACGGCAGTGATGGTAGCAACAATCTGAATATACTCAACACTACTGAACTATACACTCAAGAATGGTTAACATGACACATTTTCTGTTGTGTGTATTTTGCTATAATTGAAAAAATAAAACTAAAAACAGCCTCAGCTTGAGAGAACCCAAAATTATTTATTTCCTAAAGTTTATAAGGCACTCGCTTACTAACTAGCAACAACCAATCATTCAATCAACAAATATTTATCCAGTATCCACCCATAACACGTACTACTCCAGTTACCCAGGAACAGTAGTTAATAAAAGACAGAAAGCCCAGATTTTCAGAGTTCACTCTCTAGACTGATATTCAGAGTCATTTCAAAACTTTAATGCTAATATATTGATATAGGAATGGTAGAGTTGATATACTGCAAATGCTTCTTTAACATATGAACAAATGTTCAACCCCACTGAAATAACAAAAACACAAAATAAAAATACATTCACCACCCCCATAGATTGGCAGCAAGCCGAACTATTGACAGAATACTCTGTTGTTGGGTCTGTGGTGACACAGGTCTCTCATACACAACTGGTTTGAGGACAGAATGGCACAGTTTCCGTGGATAGCAATTAAGCAATACGGCCGTGACAATTAAATCTCAGCAGGCTTCCCTGGTGAGTTCAGCAGCCTATCCCCACAGGGGATATCCAATTTGAACAAGTCACTCTGCTTTAAGAATGAATTCTAAGAAATGTATGTAAATGTATAAAGACATCAATAGGATACCTGTTGCTGCATTGCTACATTATTTGCAACAGTGAAAAGAGAAAAAAAAAATCTGAATGTTTATTAATCAAATGATTGGGTAAATAAAGGTATATTAATACTACAAAGTGTAGTATTAACACTACACAGAATCACTGAAAATAGTTATGTTTGACACATTCTACCATTTTTACTTACATTTTAAAGATTTCCTAAGTTTTATTAGAACCACCATTTTTTTAAAATAAAAATTAAGTTTCAGACAAAAGTGCATCATCATCATAATAGCTAAAACTTAAATTGCACTGATGATGTGCCTACGGGCTTCTCATGTATAATCTCATTTAATCCTTCCAAAACAACAGGTTGAGAGTCTACCCACCCATTAATATCATATCCATCCAGCTAACCTGACTACCGGATTCTAAGACCTGGATTTGCCATTCACACAAATGACTTCAGGAGAGTATTTGTAACTTCCTTTCCCAATTCCCAGGTCACAGAAGTCATTTAAAGCTTTCCACTAATGGACCTATTTTCCATAGCTTTTACCACCATGATCCCTAAGCTCCCTGCCATGTGTGTTGGGGGGTAGGGGCGGGAAATCAGTAGTCATTCAAATATTTAATCACCTTTTTTTTCTCTTTCTGAACCTGAATTTGTACACAACAGAACACTTTATTTTTTTCTTTTTGTGTAGAAGAACTAGCATGTGGGCTAGAAGGATGCGTAGGGGTGAGAAGAATCATCAAACACAATGGAGAACAGAACAGGCAGATCTACTGAAACACACTCTAGGGGGAGAAGACAGGAAAGGTCTGCTGTGTCATATGGGTCAGATCCCTGGTTGGGGATCAAACGCAGGTATAGCAGCGATAGTGCTAAGACTCAACCCCTAGACCAGTAGGGATGCCCAAAACACTTTTCTTTACATTGTGCATTATACCTAATTGAAAACTTTTACAGAGTTGTCTTCTGCCTTTCCTTCTCCAGGCTAAATTTTTCAAAATCCTTAAGAAATGCTTTTCACTTTTAATTAATTGCTTTTGTGTCTTTTGGGTAAATACCTAGGAGTGGAATTTGGGTAAATACCTAGGAGTGGAATTGCTGGATCATATGGAAGCTCCATTTTTAGTAGTTTAAGAATCCTCCACACAGCTTTCCATAACGGTTGTACCAGTCTGCATTCCCACCAGAAGTGTAGTAAAGTTCCTTTTTCTCCACACCCTCGCCAACATTTATTGTTGCTTGTTTTATGAATATGTGCCATTCTCACTGATGTGAGATGGTTTTGATTTGCATCTCCCGTATTACAAGTGATGCTGAATATTTTTTCATATGCCTGTTGGCCATTTGTATTTCCCCTTTGGAGAAGTGTCTTTGTAGCTCTTTTGCCCATTTTTTCATGGGGTTGTTCACTTTATTTTTGTTGAGTTTAATCAGCTTTTTGTGTATCATGCTTAGTGAAATAAGCCAGAAAGAAAAAGAAAAATACCAGATGATTTCTCTCATAGCAGCAGTGTAAGGGATCAGAAAAAAAAAAAGTGGGTGTGTATTATATATTATAGTATATAGAGTATATATATATGTGTGTGTGTGTGTATATATATAGAATATGTGTGTATATGTATATAGTAATTGTAATAAAGTACAAAAGAACATCAACTAACAACTATAAACCAGTGACATTCTACATGGGAGGAGAGAGGACCAAGATCAAAACTGGGGTGGGAAGAGCACAGGGGGTTATGGTGATGGCACATGGGTGAAGTGGTGGTGGGAAATCCATGGGGATTACAAGTGGGATGAAAAAATGTACAAAATGAAGAATAATGTAAAAAATGTATTTATAAAATACAATTAAAAAGAAAAGAAATGGTTTTCACTCAGCTCTATCATAAAATGGAAGAGGGAACAAAAGGCAGATTTCTTGCTCCTGGTGACAGTTAAGCCACAATTACCAAGAGGAAAAAATAAATGAAACTTTCCAACTGCAATTCCCAGTATGAGGTACCTGGGTGAGTGAGGAAAAAAAATCTCTAGAAACTTTGGAGAATACAAGGAATTGTGGAATTCCGACAGTTCTCCTGCAAAAAGTGCAGAGTCTTCCAGACCTAGTTTACTCCCTGCAGCCACTTCCTTCTCCAAATAGTGCTTCACCTCTGCAAGCATCTTTGCCTTCTGCCTGGAAAGCTTGCTGCTTAACTTCAGTCAATTTTATGATATTCTTGGATCCACCCTATTTCCAATTTGATTGACAAACTAGAGTTTAAAAAAATACTGTAGGATGAATGAGTGAATAAATGAAGACATAATAAAATAGTAATTTTATAAAACTGTATGATTGTGCATCTTTGAGGTCAGACAAATCGAATAACACCAGCCCTTGCCAGCTGGGTGAACTTCGCTTCTCTGAGAGTTCAAGAAATGCTTGTTGACAATGAATAAGTTTTCACGGAGATGTGTGACCAACTGCATGAGACAATGCTTGTATTGTTCCTGACCTACAATTGCGTCAGTAGAATGACTACTCTCCCTATAATACCACTTTCTGTATTTGCCTAGACTGTGAGTTCCCTGAGGGAAAAGGTAGTGCAAGGTCCCACTAGGCGTTCTCAGAATGAAGACCTAGATCCAAAATGTTTAACGCGCTCAGAGGGAGGAATATTATATATGCCGAAAGGATGTGACCCTTTGGCAACGACCACAAATCGCTAGACCCTCGCCTTGCTCAAGTATATACAAACGATGGCCTCCTTTACTTACAGCGCGAGTCTGACATCCACAGGACTCCACCTCCTTTCCTTCAAGAGCGAAGATCGCCGCGGTCCCGCCCCATGGCACCCTACCCAGCGCTGACGCTTCAGTGACCGCCCCCCAGAAAGGCGCATGCGCACTACTCCCTCCTCGTCTCGCTTCCCCCTCCCACCCCGCCCC